GCTCAGCTTCAGAGTATCGTTTCTGGAGGGGTAACTCTTGTGGAACTAACCAGGACCACTCCATTTTCCCTCATTTCACCAAACAGCTTCATTGCCATTTTAAGTCACTCCAATGGACTTCACCTATGCCGACGGAACATCGAAACCGCACGGAAAACTGGGTAACCGCAATTTCATGACAGATATCTGACTGTTTGACATGCGCCCATGAATCATCCCCCCATAATTTTGAGCTATTATGGTCTCTTCCTGTCTATCTGGCCCTGCATGTACCTTCAAATGAATGATCACTATTACACGGCACCATCAACTTCCTCTCGATAATACTGTGAACCGCCTATAAATTGCCGACAACCTTCCATAGTGAGTTGCAATCAGAAAATCAACAATCCATTTCATTCCATCATGGTTTGAAGGTCCTCCAGTCAGTTCTAATCATTTAAATCAGTTCAAAAAGAAAAGAATCTTTGTGAACGGCTTCAGATGAACTCGACAAGGAATGGCCAGCCACTAACACGAGGTTCGAGCTGAAAATGAACACCTCAACTGAAAAAACGGGGGCTGGAACGCGACCGAAAGAAGACACAGTCCGTTCAGGTTCCAACAGAGCAGATCACCAGGGCAGCTAAGGTTCCCACACAACGGAATGGCCCGTGAAGTATTAGAAGAACTTTATACTTTGACATCGAATCCATCCCATCATGGGTATCCTATGATCAAATCTGGACTTTTGTTTTGGGAATGCTGTTGTAGGTACTCTCACGAAGTGGTTCCTAATCCCAGTTTGATGAGAATCATGCAGGGCAAAAGTTTTGACTGGATTCCTTTCAATAATCCATCCATCATTCGATACGTCGTTCTTTCTGATGTCAGCTGATTTAACAAGCTCCAGTTGCAGAGCAGCTGTGGCTCTGTCACATAGCAAAACCCGGCAGAAAAACACAGGAAGACATTCAGAGATGACGATCAAGTAACTGAGGTTCACAGCTGACTACCTGAAAACCACCTGATCTAATGCACTCAGACTAGAGGTAATCGATCTCAGAAATTGTTCCGAGCAATTCCATAGCAAACTACCAGAGTGTGGGAAAATAATGGCCCAGTAACTCATCTCTGTCTCGGAATGCAATTACACTTTGGCAAACAAGGAAGTCTGGGTTCTTCCTCGTAGCTCAACAACAGTGCTCATAGGCCAGCTCAGGCATATAACACACTCAGTCCAGAATGTGCTAGTATTGACGAAGTAATCAGCACCAGACAGGCATTTTCAGGACGTCACAGTTGCCAACAGAGAGTAGGAATTGCCCAGAAGGTTTGGGGTATGAAGTGGGAGGAAAACGTCAGAATGCTCAACCCATGAATCGAATCCCCGAACTCGGTTCATACAGCTCAATAACTAATAGGTACCAACGAACTTGGCAGAGTATTAGTGATGAATTGAGCATCCTCCATCCTCCTACCCCTCCAGCATGCCCAGTACCCATTTAAATATGCCCAAGATTTCGAAAATGGTCCCATTTCCAATACCAAAGGTAACAGTAGCCTCGGCTGTTGAGTTGTACTGGTTTGAAGAAGAGTTCGAGCTGATTCTCACGAAAGATTGGGACAAATGGACTTGATGGTATCTCTGCGTTGAGACAATGATGTGATCAATGGTCTCTGAGATTTATAAGGCTACTTGACAACATGGAACAGTCCAAACACCATAGCACCAGAAAACAATGAATAAACAAGGAGTACAGAAAGATGTTCAAAACAGGAAATGAGCAGAAATTCGCATGAGGACGCTAATAAGAAAAACCTCAAGTCGACAGGGAGCTTGGAAAAGCACGGGAGGGGCAAGTCCATGATCATCCAGTAGTGCACTGAGACCTCGCCCCCCAGGATTCGTCTCTCGTTCTTCACGTCGTTGTTTCGACGTTGACAAAGGCGTATTGATTTCCCACCAATTTCCCATTGTTCCCAGACATTTCCCACTTCCCGTCATCTCCGAGATTCGTCGTGCATAGAGCTTTTCCAGTTTTTGATAGATCGGCATCGGGCTCATACACCAAGAAAAACTACTTCTTTAATTGGCCACTTCAGGGTTTTTCTAACAGCTCTCTGAGCATCATCGGCCTCTTCCCGGGTTTTCGCTTGCTTAGCATTCTTTTCATTGTATTCATACCTCGAGCGTTTTGGATAGGTTCTTGGGACAATTCTCCTTTCACTTTTAGGCTCTCACATGTTCTCCAGTGGGTAAGATACCCATAACTGACTTCTTGGAGAGCGCCGGTATGCAGCACTCACGAAATTTATCAATTTCTGCAATAATGTTGGCATCTGCCTCTATGTGACTGCCGTACTCTTCTATTAGTTTCATTTTTGGAAGCGGTCAATTTCCAGCACGCCAGCGTTTTTTGGATCGAAATAATGACCCCCGGAAGTGTAGACAAAGGTGGAAGGTCGTTCCTGGTACTCAGAGTTCACAGAAAGGAAAAATTCATCTATTGCTCTTGTTGAATGCTGAAATTCGGTTACCCTTTTTGGCAGAGCGTATGTATTTCTTCTGAGGAAGTGAGCAATTTTGCAGGAAGAAAAGCGCATGTGTAGTGTGGAAGCGGATGTTCTGTTGGAAAAGTGGGCACTGGTCACAAAATGAGCATTATTATCGGTTTCCCGTCGTCGAGCACGTAAAACACAGAAATGGGACCAAGCAGCGCTGACGACACTCACTTTTTTTTTACATCCCAATCGTATATCACTCTAGCGTCATGTTAAAAGAGTATGACTGTAACCGATCCCACTGAACTAACATAATTATCAAAAAAGTCGCAAGGGGAAGACCGACCAGCGATTGGGATCAAAGGCGCAATCCACGATAATTATGAGGTACCGCTTTTTCGTCGTTCGTTTTGGCGTGGGAATAATTCATCGATAGTGAAGATAGCGGAAAAAAAAATTGCCAATTCGGAGAAAAGTAAGTTTCTCAAAAGTAGGTAAAATAGAGGTTGGACGAGATTACCATGACGGAAGTAACATGGAAGGTGTATTCGGACGAGTTTTCAGTTGTTGCAATTGCGCAAAGAGCCGACTACGTCAAGTCAAAACTGTCCGGGGTTGCCTTTCAATGTCGCTATGGGATCACGTAATTTGTTTGAACTTCCCACATCGGTTCCCTTGTGATTGGTGTTGCCTCCACAATGCTGTTGAAACTCGTCCACGAATACATCGTCCACCCATACACGTGGTACAATCTTTGAGCCTTCATAACTCCCTAACTAGGCCGTTTTCCGTCCTAATAGCGCCAAATATGGTATACGAGGGAACCTCAATTTCATCCTATGAGGAAATATCAGAAACCACTTTTATCGTGTACTGTGCCTTAAAAGTGGCTTGAATCTTAATCCATTTGACTCTCATCAGCTTTTGCTGAATCGAATGAAGGGAGACTTCAGGCAAGGAGTTGATTTGACTCCCTTTTGCAGTAATATAACAAAACACCACAGAGTGAAAGGAATATGAACTGGATGTTCGCCCAGTAGGCGGTTCACTGGCTCCATCGGACCGAAATAATGAACAATGACATACCCATTGTTCCTGAAGCGCTGAGCCATGTAGAAAGTGTTGTGGCTCTGTTCAGAATAGAAAGCGGGGGTGGGATCGTTCCCATTCGTCTTGGCACGGAAATTGGAACTTTTTTCCCTCGATTTCTTCCTCGTCCTACGTGGGGTCGTTTCGCTCTGGTCTCGAACGAAACGACTTTGGTTACGACCAAAACGAATTGTTAGTAGGGGTTCTTTTGAGAATGGAAGTGGTCGAGGCCCTGGGAGACGATCCATTATGCGTAAAGTGCTAGGCGGTGTCACTGATTAGGACTGCTTCAGCCAAGGTGCGCTTCGTTTTCGCATTTGCAATCTCTGGGGAAATTGCAAGGAACCCGAGTTACTCAGCTGTTTACTTCAATTCAATTTTCTTGCGACTCACTCTGGAGGAATATGCCTGGGAAGATCTGAAACTTCCTCCGACTGTCTGTTAGCCTACTGCGGAAGACAGTCGAGTGAAGAACAATGGGATTGGCAATCATCATTCCGAACTTTTTCTTCACATAGAACCGCGGGGGGGGGGGGGGGGGGNCAATTTTCTTGCGACTCACTCTGGAGGAATATGCCTGGAAAGATCTGAAACTTTCTCCGACTGTCTGGTAGCCTACTGCGGAAGACAGTTGAGTGAAGAACAATGGGTTTGGCACTCATCATACACTCCGAACTCTTTCTTCGTATAGAACCGCGGGAGCTCGTAATACGGAGCGCCTCTTCAAAAACAAAGGTCATTAATCAAAACAGTGTATACATCCTCTTACACCAAACGAGCTGCCTACAGAAGTCCAGTCGTGGAACTCCGAAAACAAAAAAGCACTTCCGTCTATTACGCTTTTTGACCGGAAAGCGACCATGGGAGACTGTCTCAATAAGCCTAATCAGGAAGGGCTTCAACGCCGAAGCTTACCAGTTCGTATAGTTTTTTTCGTTTGGTTAGACGGTGCTTGCTGTCGTAGACTGTAATACGAGCTTGTCATGAGTAAAATGTTGTCTTAGGAGCTTGTGAGCCCATCCCCATGCATTCATCGGCTTCGACCTCATCTACACAGAGCCCAATATCTGGCCTATAGTCAGAACACTGCAGTGCAGCTTCGAACCACTAGCCCTACTTACCACTTAAAAAAATAGGAGCTGGTTTAGAAAACAAAAGTTTTGTCCAAAAAAAGGACAGTACAAAGGGTAGTGCGACTTCTGCAAGTGCAGTGTTGTTCATCAACATCGGAGAGAGGCATGATTAGCTTCTTAACAACACAGAAATGTGGCATGTTTGCCTCTTGACTTTTAATGGCAAGAAAAAAAGAAGCTGTGCACAAAAAAAACGAGGGCTATGTTGGATGGGCATAACTGGAGCAAAATATTTAGCTCTGTCTGACTTGGCCACAAGGGAACTCTCAAAACCATGATCGGGGTAACCAGATCATGCAGAGCAACAGGAACTACAAGCAGCAACGAGACGATCATGTTGTGCTGAATGGAGGTGGAGTTAAGAGGACAATAGCCGATTCCTTAGTGCATTCATTCACTCGGGAGTGCAGTATGACTCCACTTGAAGTAGGCACGTTTTCATCCAGGGAAGCGGTCCCAAGTATTACTCGTAGTTTGGCCCAAGCAAACTTCTGGAAAGGTTTCAACTCCTAGTACGATCAGATGGCAATATTGAGGCAACATCTCCTATACTTTACCCCGGTATAATTGTTCTCCTTAACGAAAGAATTCCTGAAAGCAACTCAGAGATCACAGCCTGGCTTGTTCAGGGGAAATTGGCAGGGATTGTAGTCAGGGGCAGGGACACTGTCCCTGGCTACAATCTCTTGATTTGTAGGGACACTCATAGTAAGTAAGTTTTCTCTTTCTCACCATGCTTTTTAGCCGAGTTTGGGGGGAAATTTTCGTCTAAACGGCAATTTTCAGTGTTAAAGTGAGAGTTATGGGGTGGAAAGCATTGTGAGGTAAGTTAGGCTGTTTAGAACTACATGGCTCTACTTTAGTAGTTTCAATGAACGTCAGCGCTCCATATGCTTCGTCTAAGACTCCAGTAATGAGCCTGAAAGGCTCAGTTTTTATGTTTATTCATTTATTCTTCATTCTCTCCTAATGTAAGAGGATTAACTGGCGGGTGAAAATTTGAGGCTGACGAGATATTTGCATAAGTAGGCGGTGAAAAGCTGGAGAGGATCGTGCTTATATGGCCTGAAAATGATAGAGGTAGGGTAGGGGGGGGGGNGGGGGGGCAACTTCCCCAGGAAAAGCTGCTAGAAGGACTTACACAACTCCAACGCAGCTTTTAAGATGTCGAAGCCTATTAAATAGGCTCATAGTCGTAACTCGCATATTCGCATGCAATAAAAACGCATAAAAGATTTCCCGAGAAGATCGGATTTCCTCGGTCGCACGGGCTTCTAACGAGTTCTAGGCTATCAGAATATTGGGGGGCTATGAATTACCTGTGTAATCCTATTCAGATTCTTCGGGGCTCCTTGGTCTGGTCCTCACTAGTACTGACGTAGAAGTTTATGCAAGAATTAATTCTAAAACAGCATCACTCATTACTTCACAGCGTGACTGCTGACGTCTCCAATGATTACCCTTGTGCCTTCACATTGAAATATATATTTATGTTTGTTTATTTATTTATTACAGGTAATAGCATCGCGTTACCAATAGACCAAGGAAAACAAGACAATCAATGAAAGCTAACGAGCAAGGAAAGAAAAATAAACAAAAGTGAAAAGAAAAAAAGGGTTGTAGGAGTAGGACGCAAAAAAGCGACATAAGAATAGGTACCCTACGGAACCAATGACAGTCGAGTGATCAAGATGAGAGAACTTGGAATTTGATGCAAAACCTCGAGACAGCAGCAAAATTAACAACTTCAAGTACAACAGTCGATTGAGTTTTCGAATACTTGTATACTTATCGGAAAGGTTACAGAGTTTGAGGTATCCCGTGAAGGTTCTTGTTGGAAGAAATAAAATCGCAGACTGTGCATAGCTCGCGGAACAACCCGTTTAATGGGAGCACTCTTGGTTACCATTCAGTACAAAACTGACCAGGGTTGCGACCACAATGACCATAAAGAATTTTGTGTAAAAGAATGGGATTAAACTTTTTCCGTCTACACGTAAGAGTATGCAACTGAAGATTTTTAGTCCTTTCCTTACTGATAGGTACACCATCGTATATAAACCCAAGGACCCTAATCATCAATTTCCGAGTGAATTAGTTCTGAACTCGCTCAAGCTAGTATCAAATTGGCTTTATACGGGTTAAAAACAAGTGTGCCGTACTCTACATTGAGCCTGACATATGTATGTAGGTCTTAAAAGCGCGTAATAGGGCCCCGGGTATGGGTACATTCACCCAGTACTAGATGGACGAGGCAAACCGCGTGGCGAAATTCGTGGTGATTAAAAGGCTTCGGCGCCTATCATTGAGGCACGGGTTTCACGTAGATTGGTTAAGTAGGGCCAGCTGATGCTACTTATCTATGCCACTGCAAATTTATGCCCCAGTGATAGGCGCCAGAGTCGTTTTAAACACCACGAATTTTGCCGGGCGGTTTGCCGCGTCCATCCAAATCTGGGTGAATGTTCCGTCCCCCTAGGGCCGCAGTATTGTATAGTGTGCAGTACAGTGAGGACACTAAACAAGTTATGTATCACTGTGGTAAGCTTTCTAGCAATATCCTCGCATAGCGCATCAAAGGAAAGATTCCCTATGATGAGAAAGCCTAAATCTCTCTGCTGCTTCACTTTTTTTTCAACGAAAGATGCAAAACTCTGTTTTTCTCTTTGAGGAAAGTTTTACGAAGCTTTTTGAATACTGGTCTCATTCTAGTCAATAGGCGTTATTTAAGATGTATTTCTCATTCACCAATAAACAACACAGCAATTGAGCCAAAACTCTGATGAATAGCCTAAAAGTGACCTGGCTGCCCTGATTTTCCTTTCAACTTTTGTGAACGAATGGTAAAACCCATTCTGCCCTAAACCCCAGCATAGAAGAGATTTGAATCGGAAACTTTAATCTCTTCAACTTTGTGCTGGCAAGGCTGAAATGAACCGGAGCAGACCTCAGCGTGATACTTGGAAGGCTTTTCATTCATGAAAGATGACGTTTCCAGTCAAAGGTTCCTCTCGGGTAATCACCTTCTGAGATGCGCCCATGCATTCAAATTCCATTCAGAACCTCAGTGACGTTTGGATGCATATTTGGCCTATACAATAACTTGCAAAGGCTAGTCAATGCGGAGGTGCTCTTAGCTAAGCCTGCCACCATATGAATGAAGAGCAGGGTATGATTCTCCCGTTGACGAGGGCTGACGATACCAACCGAAAATTTGATCCCTAGACTGAGCGTCTGCCGGCGGCGCCACTTGGCACTTCCCTTCCTCCCGTCCATCTCCTCTAACAGTTCTTTTTTGAATTTTCAGTGGTTCTTCCACATTAAGCCGTTCGAAAGGTTATTCAGCCACTGCATGAGCTCAACTAGTCGCCGGGGCGAAAAAAAACTAACGGTTAGCAGAGAATTGGTTATTGCCAACACTGCTTTTTTTCAGAGAAGAATTATTCGGAGCAAAAAATCATTTTGAAATTGTAACTTCTAGCAAAAATTTCTATTTGCAGGTAAACTGTGATGATTGTTGTGAGGAAGACCTGTGCAATGCTAATTTCTCTGTGCAGTACTATCAAGAAATGATGAGCAGGCAGTACACTTCGTGGTTCACTCCGTTGCCAGGCGAGGTCAATTGGAACAGAAAGAGCAATCTCCGATTTCCTTATTGATCAGTTGTTTTAGCGGCAGACTGGCTTATTGTCTTATCAGTCAAATGAAGGTTCAGAACGTTGTATGGAAGCAAATGTATTCTTGCAGATGTCCAACTTTCTGTGCGATCAACTACCAGAAAGGAGATGCACGCACTAATTGAGAGTGATTACTACGAAATATCTTGAAGTTCGATGATATGGTCTTCTGAGATATACTAAGGATGAATCTGAGCCCTCTCATCCCCGCCTAACATATGTGCTACTGTCAGATTGGAAAACTGCCGGGATAGGGCTTTACAAGAGATCCAAAATTGTATTGAATGTATGCCACACCCAATGACTGATGAGTTTAAACGGCGTTGTAGAGGCTGCACCATTCACAAGGGACACTCATGCAGGAAAGTCAAACAATCAGCCAAGACTCATGGCGACAATAGAAAGCAGTTTTGGAAATTTTTGCCTAAGTTTATTCAGCTCTTTACACAATCTCAACAACTGAATCTCATCCAATTACCCTATCCATGCCATTTTCGTAATGGTAATCTCTTACAACCTCAAATTTCACTTTTTCAAAGGAGCCTTACTTTTCGCAAAGGCGGCGGACCTCCTCGCTCTTTTTGCCATCAAGATACAACTCTACTCAACACTTTCTACTTCAGAAGGGTGCCTTATGAGTACCGTGAGCTGCGGCTTCATCGTATCAAAAAGTGCAAGACCTCTGTGCCAGCACAAAATGGTTTCCTTGGGGGTTCTTTGCCTCGTCATGAAACCCCATTCGAGCATCTATAAACTGGCCATTCGGTTAAGTGAAAGACGTCATTTTCATCATAAATTGGGCTAGGTAATTGCCCGCCGAAAAGTGCCCCTATTTGTTCTCACAAAAGAGTTATTTGTGTGAAGACTGAGGTCTATGAGAAACGTAATGAATCTTCGAAGCGATCTGCATAACCAAGACTGAAGCGATGGATTGCTTATGGTGGTCTTCGTGGAGAATTCCGTGAATCAACAAACAATGGATGTGCAAAACAAAATAGGGTATGAATAAAATATTTCTGTGGAGCAAGTAGTAAAAGAGAAGTAAAAGGGAAACAACCAGCATCCGCCGTTGCACTGGACGAAGGGTACGGAAAGGGGTACACTGACGAAACGAAGGGCTGACAAGCGACACAGAACGTCGATCAAATTCATTCCGGGAAATTTCGCATTCGACACCGAACTCCTACACAGAAACACTTCAATGTGTTTCCGGATTATACAATGACATGCAAGATCAATCAAGCGAGCACATGCCAATTTTCTGCATTCCCTGACATACCTGGTACCAATTAACCTACCCTTCCAGGTAAAAGTCGCTCCTCTAGTCCTTTTCAATCCAAGTGAAGTGTATTTTTACATTGACATATGGGCGCAAGAGTACTACTAAATACCTTAGTGGTTTATACAATTGAAAAAGTCCTTTGTACTGCTTTTGAAAAACCTTCTCCGCAGTGGAAATTTGCGTTTGTATGACCAACTCAATAATACTTAGTATCCTTACTATATACAACTTTGCCTTTCTGTTTGATTGTTTGTCTGTTTGTCACAAAACTAGATATCGTATAGCGAAAAAAAATTATGTCTGTCCGTCTGTCCGTCTGTCTGTCTGTCTGTCTGTCTCTCTGTCTGTCTGTCTGTCTCTCTGTCTGTCTCTCTGTCTGTCTGTCCGTCTGTATCTGTCTGCCACGGCATTCGATATTATCAAAAACTAAACACCAGCAAGCCTGTTTAGAAACGTTTAAGAGTGGAAAAAGGTGATTATAGGCAATCGAGTGTGGTCGAATGTTCATGGTCGCCAGAGCTAAGACCAAAAATTTACAGCTTTCTTCCAAAAACTTTCCAGAACTCAGAAAAGAGTGTTTAGAGCTTTTCAAGGAAGGGTAACCATATTTTCATAGTGAGCAGGATGTGCAAGAAGGAGGAGCTAAAATTCAAAATTTATGACTTTATTCAAAGGGGGTGAAGCAAATGAAGCAAGGTTTGAGAAATCTTGGTGAGCCTCACTCTCTACACGAATTCATAAGAATCATTACTTGATTCAATTGAAGCCTCTAAGCCAGATGCCTCGAGGACCAAGATCAGGTCAAAACACTATAACTCTGTTCACAGCTTTCTTTGTTGTGATTCTTGCGTTAGCGCGCATACATAGTCCATTTGGTACTTTATACTACCTCTGCCTTTAGACGTCATCATCCAAGGTTAAAAAAATAGGAAAAAGCTAACCTACAAATCAAAACCTGATAACCCAACTCTATAAATGTTTGGGGGAGAAACGCGATGACTAACACTCTCACTCAGCCAATATAAACAAGTTTTTGAGTTGTTTAGCAGGAAAGGAAGAACCCGAATCGTGCTTCAAAACAATTGCGGTACAGGGTTCAACACGAAAGCGCTGAAGTGGAGTATCGTGGAATTTCATGTGTTGTCAACGTATGGAATAGAATTCCGGTGGATCACAGCATGAGAACATTTGGTTAGGACTTTGAAAAATTCCTGGTCGTTGGTTAAGTTTTTTTTTTTGACATTTTTGGGTTCTTATTATACCCAATAGGGGATCAGTCAGAGACGCAGAAAGAGCACGATCTGTAGACGATGAACGTATCGCTGACCAGACCCTATGCGTTAAAAGTGCATATGGAGGTAACTTGATTCTAAGCGATGCAGTACGTTCTGAGTGATTAGCCAAGACTAGAGGCATGGTTATATTGTCACTGACTGCTTTGTGACTGCAACAGAATGCCTCGAAAGATCAGTGGAACTTTTTGAACCAACCACTCGAACGCATCGAGACCATTGCTCCTCCAACTCAGAGGCACATCCCGGATAGCGAGTTGAACCGGACTCGAAAAGAGGCACCTATATGCTGAGTGATTCGTCGATCAATCACTCAGAAAATTGGCAAAGATAAAAAACTCGGAGGCACAGTTCACGATAATTTTGGGGCATCTAGTTTTAGACAAATAACGGAACTGGTATTCCGGAACAGCGCAAAAGGGGCGAAGAACACGCAGAAATCGGTGTATTCAAAGAGCTTTAAGGCTTCAAAAATGAAGTAAAATTAGGGGGTTGGAGAAAAGCTTTATGGAGGGGGTTTTGGAAGAGGCCAAATGCGATGTCATTGCTTATAGCTGTGTACAGTAAGCTGTCCCGTCGCGAACGGTGCAATCTCCAATGCCGATCGAAGGGCTTCTCCAACGAATGAGAACCGTCCCCTTTGAGTGTGCATGTCAACTGAGCCGGTTATGGGGCCCTTACTACGCCCTATCTTGGCCGTTTTTAGGGGTCACCAGTTCATCGTGGGGAGAAATGCCAGATACCATTTCATCGTGAACTGTGCCTTGAACGTTCAGCCGAATATATGTGGAAAGAACGCTCGATTTCGTGGTCGATTTCAAAAGAATCTTGGAAGAAACGCACAAATTTGGCGCATACGGGATTCGATGTTTGTTGACGCTACATCACATTCGAAGTTGACACCTGTTTATCCCTTTAACAATCTAACATTGCCAGTTTTGTTCACCCAAAAAGGCGTCACCGCTCCGAAAGGTTTTACCATTTCCAAGTGGAAAACAAAACAGGCACTGTTACCGTAAACAGCCACTCGTAACTTTAGCCCGTGCCGTATACCGCCTATTCTAGTTGGTAGATCTGGATTTCATCCACCGATACTATCTGCCGAACCTGATATCGGGAGGACTGTGTCATCGAAGTGGATAGGAAAACAAATATGTGGGTGGAGCACTGAGTTAATGACGTAAAGTTTGTCGAGATTGATTTGTGCCTGGGTGCCTTTCATGAAAGGCGACAAAATATATTTGGATTTCAAACGGATAAATGGATTTCATGGAGTTCTGAGAGTAAAACTAATGGGTATTCAGTAGTTCACATGAAATTATGGTCTAAGGGCCGAGACACTCTTCTCCCAGTCAACTCGCTCTAGAAAAAGTGTTCCGCACTGCTTTTAGAGTTTGAAAGGAAATCAGCCACTAAAATTTGTACAAATAAAATAGATTACAACTGGATAAACAGGGTGGGTCAGCTGGAGCAACCTATCGACCAAAGCAACATGAGTTCGCGCACAGGAAAGGGAAACCGTTACCCAGGACAGTACTATACCACCCAAACTATGTGCCGCCCCCATTTATTACTTTTGCAATAATGGTAAAATGAAATCCGTAGCCCCGTAGCCCTACGCTATACCTTCGGACAGCGCGTTTTTGAGTAATGAACTTAAAACTCGTCTCAAAATTTTCAAGGAGAAAGTATAACTCGCCCAAAAGCACGAAAGATCACCACGCCTCTATAACCAGTGAGAGCAGGGTCCATGTGAGCATATGATGGTACAAAATAAATCGGTCGAAGAAGTTTTTACAATAATTAGAGCTGTTTCTTGGTGACCAGAGTTATCTCTTACCTTTTGTAGCAGAGGTGGAACGAACATTTATCCCAGCCAGGCAGAAATGGGGGAGAAGCGGACTCTCTTGGCAAGATTTGTGACAGTTATGAGGTAGAAGCCGTACTGGAAACGTTTCCATAGCAATCGCCAATAAATCCAATAATTTTTTGACCAATATATTATCCAGCGGGTCTGCCATTAAAGGCACAGTTTACGATAATTCGTGGTATCTAGCATGAGTGAGATAATGGACGTTGTGGCGCAAAATAGTGCAGAAAAGGTGAGAAAGGGAGGAATCTTTGTGTCGTAACTGTCTGGTTGTCTTTGACAGAAATGTATTACTTGTCCGCCTCCTAACGCTTTATTGTTAGTGGTCTTTTGGGTGTGTGAATCGGCTAAGACGGATTTGGAACACTTAGAACACCCTGTTCAAGTCGTATTTCGAACCGACAATGTCACACGTGCTATCCTTCGGAGCCACAGGTTCGTCCTAAGGGAAATCTTATAGACCATTTTCATTTTGAACTGTGACATTAAGGCAGATATTTAAATAAAAAAGAGTGCTATCTCAGCTTACTCTTTACGATAGGGATATTGGAGAACGAAATCTTTCATAATTTCTCCCACTTCGACTCACACATACTACAGCTCAATGTAAGCTAGAAATTTGCTGAAAAGGCTATTATGGTTTGGATCCAAAAAACGAACTGCTCTGATCAGCTTATTTCAAATTCGACGATTTCACTGAAGTTCATCTGCTCAGTGTTCTCTCAAACCAGTTGCTATTCTTCTAAAGAGTAATCCGCAGTGAAGTAAGTGGATCACTGAGTTCACCAACTATTCTTCGATATCGAGTGGTCTTTGAAATCTTGAGGAAATGAGATTGGATTCCTATCCCATAGGATACTAAACGACATTACGTGGGTGGCTACTCCGTCCCAAAATACTTGTAGCGTGTTACGGATACCTGCCAGCATTCCGGCAGCCGTTGAAACTACGAACAGGAATGTAAACATAAAATATCGCGTGGGCTCACCATCTTATACACACTTGAAAACACAAACTGAACTATGGATTAACTACGTAGTAGTTGATGAAAAATTATGCCTGCAACGCTTGGAGTTCATGTATCTTCCAAAGCGGAGTTTCCAAAATTACACCGAGTTACAATGTAAAAAACGCGCTAAGTAAAGAGGAATGAAAACTCAGCGTCGAGACGTAACTCGTCCACTTCTAAAACTTCAAAACTACTTCAGAACCAGAGGTTTTATTTTGAAGGCACAGCTCACGATGAAAATGGTTCCTGAGATGTTCTCCAAAATGAACCTGTTCTCCCAATAATAACACGTATGACACTGTCGGGTCGAAAAAAGATCTCGACAGGGCGATATAAGAGCTCCAACACCGGCTCTGCTGACGTAAACACCCACAAGCGGCCGTGTTATGACGGCCTTGTAAAGGATGTACCATTCATAATGGAGCATCAGGACGCCCACGAATAGTAGGCTTATGTGAGAGGAACCCAGATGGTTATAGAAATATAACCTCGTGCACCCCTTTTTTTTGCTATTTTTTAAGAACTTGTAGTTCCTGAAGTTTTCCGCGTTTTCTTCGCCATTTTCGCACTATTCTGCATCACGGCTTCCATTGTTTCGCTTAGGCTAGATACCTCCGAATAATAGAGAGTTATACCTTTTATCAGGACGATATCAGCTGCATTGAAGTGAAAATATTTTCTCAGGCGAAAGTATTGGGACCTCCAAACACTACTGAAGCAGTTTCCTGACCCCCAAAGGTAGGAGGAGAAGTGACTACTAAACAAACTATTAAGAAGTATGATAGTATGAGTATGAAAGTATGATAGCTGAACTGAACGAAGCATCAGAGGAAGGAAGAAGAAAGGTGTGTACGAACTATTCAAGAGAACCTGGCGAGTCATTTCTGCAGAGAAGTCTCAAGGAGAAGGTCGGGTGGAGTGTATGCAAGCGAAATAGTAGTTGTTGGGGGTAAATTCAGAAATGGGGACGGTGAGCGACTCGTCTATGATCTGCTGATAACGACGACGGAGCATTGTGAAGTGACAAGTTTGTCGAGCCAAGTGGTCCCCGAGGAGTACACCACCCATTAGTCGCCCTTCCCCCCTTTACATCGGCCCCATTGCGATCCGCCATCGACAATTGCCCCGTCGAGGAAAATGAGAGTCGATTTAAGGACTTTGACGTCTCGCTGAATTACGCATGGCCAACGAAAGACGGGGCAACGAGAGCTGCCGTCATCACGTATAACGAGACAGGGTTCAGAGGATGAGCCAAGTCTTTTCCGAGTGCTCTAGACACGAACACAAACCGGATATCCCAGGACAGCTGTTACTTGCTGGCACCTTGCGTAAACAGAGAAGCTCTACCCGTAGGAAATTGCATAGAACCTGCGCTATTGAGAACGTTATCGAGGCAATTCAATTGCCCATTCTAATCAGCTCAAATCGAGAGCAAACTGTGATATGAGGCCTTGCCGAATCCTTCGTGACACTGAAAAAGGAGATACGATTAGGCAAAAGCGTGAGGTAGCGAAGGGAGACCACCAATTTTGGTTGCCAAGGAACGCCGAATGGTTGACGGACGTATATATGGAGATGAAAACAGGACGGGAATTAGTCAAAACGGCAGACGAGACCAACAAAATGAGCGCATTGTGGTGAGACGTTAATTATGTAACCATTTGTTTTTATGGCATCCGTGGTATAGAAGGCGTTTTGATGACGACTGCACGTAGTTGGGGTTGACCGAGCTCAGACGACTAGACTTCCCAACCGGAACATAAGTAAACTTCCCTACTTCTAAACTCTCGTTAAGAATTGTTGGTAAACTATGTATAACCTAGTTTTGAACTGATTCATGTCGTATATTTTTACGTATCTGAATATGCTCATGCAGTATGACTGGATTCAGGGTTGGAGACGCTTTTTCCCAAAGAAAAGTGTATCAATATGCGACTAACAACCGATACCATAACAGAGTATTTATTGAAGTAGAAGTTCTCGAGGTAACGTGGCGAATCGATGGCCACAAAACTTGGAAAACAT